CGTATGCACAGTTTGACATCTTACAACGAACTCAACGAACTCAGCCGCCAGGTCCTCGGGGCTCTGCAGGAGGTTGCGAGCTCGGGTAGCCGCGATGCTATGCGTGTCGCTACGGCCTGCGCCATCGACGGTGTTCTCCGTGCTCACTCCAAGGAGCCAGTGAGTTTCACGTGTGAGTGCGGACTGCAGAGACCGTCGAGGGATCACTTGACCTTCGATTGCCCTGTAACTGCCGAGACTGATGAGCTCGTGGGCGTGGAGACCTACGAGCGTAAGCTTCTTTTCAAGTTGGTTCCTTTGCCTGAGAAGGCCCCCGCCCTGGACCTGTCACGTGTGAGGAGCGGCTGCTTGCTCTTTGCAGTGGTGTGGCTGCTTCTGGCGGCGGTTGTCTGGTGCAGCGTGGCTTGCGACTGTGGCAACGAGCAGCGTGGTGTGTGGTGGTCCAGCTCGACGACGCCACGTGCTCCTGGTCTGGCTTGGTTGGCGACGGCGAGCAGACCCCGGCGGCAGGCGAGCGCATGGCTCTGTGGCATGCGCTTTGGCTGGTGCGCAGAACAGGTTGCAGGGCACGGCTCTTGTCGGACAACCATGCGGCTGTCTTGCGCTTGCGAAATGGGTGGTGTCGAGGCATCTGGCAAGGACCCCTTGAGCTCTTCTGGAGGGAGGCTGGCGAAGGACTTGCTGACCGAGCTGAAATTGCATGGATTCCGAGCCACAATAAGCGGCAGGAGTGGACCGTTCCCTGGTCCTACTCGGTGGAGCAGCTGCGACATCTGAATGCGCTGGCAGATCAGGGATGCTCTCTCTGCCTTTTTCCGTTGCGGCCACAGTGGAGTGCCTCGTTGGCGACCTTTAATCAGGCTCTTGATTGGTCAGCCAGGGCGGCCAAGCGTCAGTTAAAGGCCACGCTGCGGCTTGCGCTGATGCTGCCCGTAAGGCGTTGAGCGAGTTCTGCTTTCCGTGTGCTTGAGAGATTTTCCTCCATGCGAAGCCACTTTTTTCTGAAATTTTCTGGCTCTCGCGTGGTATGCACTCCTTCGGGAGCTGGTGGCGCCTGGTGCCCAACCGCTTCTTCTACGTATGCACATGTTGACATCACATACAAAGAACCGCAGAACTGCAAGCCGCCCTGGTAAGGTGCTGAAGCGAACGCTGTCGAGGTAGGTTCCCTTTCCTAGGCTTGCTTTGGCCTGCCCTGCCTCGTCAATAGGAGCCCATGGCCGCGCCCGACCCGGTTTCCCCTGTGGAAGCCGCTGTGCGTGCGGCTTGCTTTGCGCGCACTCCGCACCGTACAGTGCAGGCAGTGGCTGCTGCGGTGGTTTCGGCCTTGTCTCGCCAGACCCCCGCAGTGGTAGCGCCGCGGACTGCGCAAGTGGAGCAGTCTAAGGACTCCGGGTGCCCAATCCGTGGTCTTAGCGCAAGAGGAGAAGCGGACGGCCAGGGCGGACAAACGCCGACGCAAGCGGCAGCGCAGAGCTGCGAAGGCAGCAGCAGCAAGGAGAAGGACGAGGCAAGTGCAGCTGGAGCAGAGGGAGTTTCGGAAGCCGTGCCTTCAACCCTCAGACGAGCGCCCCCGACATCCGAGCGGCCCAAGAACGGGAGACTCCCCCTGGAAAAAGGTCTTGCAAGCAAGATGGCGAGGAGATGCTTCGACGAATGAGTGACCTGAGTGTGGTGAGCGACCTCTCGGGCATTACTCTGTGGACGCAGTCTGATGGTGGCAGCCCCATGCAAGGTAGAGAGCGGATGTGCATTATAAAGGAGGAGACGACAGGTCGTGGAGACGAACAGCTGCCTGCCGGGAGTGCTTTCGCTCCTGGCGTAAAGCTCAGTGGGTCAACTTTCATCGCTGGAACTTCAAGGCTGTCCCCGAGGCCGCAAGCAAGTGTGTTGGCCAGCAGGAAGTTCTTTGGCAGTGCAGACTGTGTTCGGCAGGGGTGGTTGGCATCAAGCAGGCTGGTCGCGGGCAGGCTGGTGCGGTGTATCTTGATGCTGTCAAGCATTGTCGGGCTCATCATGCGCAGGAGTCCTGCGCCTGGAAAAAGCGCACTAAGCCATGCAACTACAAGAAGGCCACTCTTGTGCGCAGGGCCGCTCGGATTGCTGATCACCTCATGTGCCGAAAGGCGGGCAAGTATGGGAGCCATGATGTGGTTGTGCACCGCATCCCTTGGTTGAATGCGGCAGGCAAGAAGCCGCTCAAGTCCACGAATGCCTATGTTTGTGTCAAGTGCTCGGCTTATGGTGTGACACCGGCACTGCTGCTGCGAGTGTTTTCGAGTATGCTGCGGGCACGGGTGAGGATGCGATCATCGCTGGCGACTTTAACCTCACTGAAGACATGTGGCCGATTACTACGGCGGTTGTGGCGGGAAGATGGCACTCGGCCAATGAGATGCTCCTGGGTGACGGGCACTTCGAGGGTTCTTTTTCACCCATCGCGAGCAACACCGGGCCCAGCTGATCACGACCTGGTGCTCTACGACGTCCTCTTGAGTCATGGCCGGGAACAGGTTGTCCGTTTTCCTCCGCGGCCTTCTGAGGGCTGCCTCTAGTAGGACTCGCGTCCGGCATTGGGTGGATCAGGTCGAGTGGGATGTAGGCAAGGCGTCTAAGTGGGTTACCCGCTCTTCTCCGGCGGTGCTGCAGCCTGCAAGCAACGAGAACTGGGCGAGGCCTCAGTCTTCCGTGGAAAAGCTTGCTTAAGCTAGAACTGTTTGGGAGCCGCAGTGGACGGACTCGGATCCGGAGCTGATGCGAGACACTGCGGCGTTCGTCTCTGAGTACCTCCCGGCGGGCATCGAGCAGCAGGTTGAGCTCACCCACGTCACTGCTGCGCTTTGTTGAGCGCAGTCGACGCAATGCCACAGGCATGGATGGCTGGTCAGCATCAGCGCTTCTGCTGCTTCCCTCCGACTTCTGGGACCAGCTTATCGTGCTTTGCACCTCGTTTAAACAGCTTGGCATCCAGTATCGGATTGGTGCCAATGGTCCTGCTCCTGATGTCGGCCCAGTCACGGATCTGCCGCATCTTCGTTGAGACCGCATTGCGAAGATTGCCAAGAAGCCGGCTCTCAGACGGTTGCTACTCCGGTCCACGGTGATCTCTCTCTTTGAGTGGGCTTGGCCGTGGCAGAGTCTAGCAAAACGTCACATTGCTACCTGGACGGCAGCTGTTGAAGCGGCAATTTGAGGTGGGCATCGACCACATGGACGGTCACGACTGCTGGGCTTTGCTGCTCTCGGAAGGCCTGAAACGTCAGTTGACTTTGCTTTGGCTTTTTCTACACTTCGAAGCGAGTGGACGCGCGCACAACGAGCTTCACTTCTGCACTCGAGCCCTCAAATACCGGGTCGTCAGTTCAAAGCTTTGTGTCACAGGTGGGGGTGGGCGTACGACCAAGGTGTCTTGGACACACTTGTGGGCACCTTTGAGCCAGGCTTCCACACTCTGGATGCTGTGAGGCGCGCTGCCGTGCAGGCCTGGCAGCAGGAACTCTGGGACGGCGAGTCCAGGACGCAAGGTGCTTCCTCTCTGGGGCGCCGCGCAGTCGTTCTCAATTCGCTTCAGGCCTTAGCTGCTTCCGTGCAAAGGGATGCCATGAGGGTCGCGACTGGATGCGCCATTGATGGGATCCTGCTTTCGTTCATTCAGGGAGCTGACACCTTTGTTTGTGCCTGTGGGTTGGAGAAGCTTCCGCGAGCTCACTTCACTTTTGACTGCCCTGTGACTCGTGCAACCGCTGCAGCTGACAGCTTCGACGCCGAAGAGCACTACGAGCGCGAACTCCTGGTGAAACTTGTTCCTCTTGCTGCTAAGGTTCCTCGCCCGGGCCCCGTGACTTGCGACGAGAGAGTACTTCGGCTCTGTAGCTCTGCAGCTGCAGCCGGCCAAACAGTTTGGTTCGCTACAGATGGTGGTTGCTTGGTACGCCCAGGCCTGGAACTCTGGCAGCGAGCAGCGTGGTGCGTCGTCGCACAAGTCGATGAGGAGCGAGTGCACGGAGTGGTCTGGCTTGGTTGATGAGCCCTTCAAAGAGCCCTCAAGGCCGTTGACCTGACACAGTGCACTGCGCGGCTCTTCTGCGACAACTGGTCCTGTGTATTTCGTTTGAAGAATGGCTCGGCAACATCTGGCGGGGACCTTTAGAGGTGTTCTGGCGCAGCATTGCGCTGGGATTGGAGAGAGTAGCCAAAATCGCTTGGGTGCCTGGCCACAACAAGAGATTGAACTGGCATCCGGAGTGGGACTGCTGCTCGGCGAGCTTTGCGCGCTCGTAGAATGCTGCTGCTGATAAGGGCGGTTCGTTGGAGATGCTGCCGCTTCGTGCGGCTTGGGATGAGACGGAAAAGAAGTTTGACGACGCGAACGCTTGGTCGGCTGCTGCTGCCGCGACTTCTGCCTGTGCTGAGTCCTGAGACGGCCCGCAAGGTTCATGGTGAATTTTTCCAGCCTCGCGTGTGATGCGCTTTTGATCTGCTGTGCGTGAGCCACCTTTTCTGCATTTTTCTGGCTCAGCAGGACGTGTACATCTCCTTCTGGGAGTGGGCGGCGCCATGGTGTCTACGTATGCACAGGTTGGCATATCGACATTTCGACAAGCCACTCCTTCCGTTGCGGCCACAGTGGAGTGCCTCGTTGGCGACCTTTGATCAGGCTCTTGATTGGTCAGCCAGGGCGGCCAAGCCTCAGTTAAAGGCCACGCTGCGGCTTGCGCTGATGCTGCCCGTCAGGCGTTGAGCGAGTTCTGCTTTCCGTGTGCTTGAGAGATTTTCCTCCATGCGAAGCCACTTTTTTCTGAAATTTTCTGGCTCTCGCGTGGTATGCGCTCCTTCGGGAGCTGGTGGCGCCTGGTGTCCAACCGCTTCACAGGTTGACATTTTACAAAGAACCGGAAGAACCGGAAGCCGCCCAGGTAAGGTGCTGAAGCGAACGCTGTCGAGGTAGGTTCCCTTTCCTAGGCTTGCTTTGGCCTGCCCTGCCTCGTCAATAGGAGCCCATGGCCGCGCCCGACCCGGTTTCCCCTGTGGAAGCCGCTGTGCGTGCGGCTTGCTTTGCGCGCACTCCGCACCGTACAGTGCAGGCAGTGGCTGCTGCGGTGGTTTCGGCCTTGTCTCGCCAGACCCCCGCAGTGGTAGCGCCGCGGACTGCGCACGTGGAGCAGTCTAAGGACTCCGGGTGCCCAATCCGTGGTCTCAGCGCAAGAGGAGAAGCGGACGGCCAGGGCGGACAAACGCCGACGCAAGCGGCAGCGCAGAGCTGCGAAGGCAGCAGCAGCAAGGAGAAGGACGAGGCAAGTGCAGCTGGAGCAGAGGGAGTTTCGGAAGCCGTGCCTTCAACCCTCAGACGAGCGCCCCCGACATCCGAGCGGCCCAAGAACGGGAGACTCCCCCTGGAAAAAGGTCTTGCAAGCAAGATGGCGAGGAGATGCTTCGACGAATGAGTGACCTGAGTGTGGTGAGCGACCTCTCGGGCATTACTCTGTGGACGTAGTCTGATGGTGGCGGCCCCATGCCGGGTTGGGGGCGGATGGCCCAAGCGATTGCTGTGCTGAGTAGGTCCCCTAGCTGCTCAGCCATAGGGTGCCATGGCAGCGTGCGATGCAGCGTCACTCGTGGCAGCTGCCATTCGCGCCGCCTGCGATGCTCGTGCGCCCAGACGGACGGTTGCCGCTGTGGCAGCTGCAGCTGTGGCGGCCGTTTATCGGCCTGCTGCGGTGGCGGCTGCGACGCGGCAACCATCCAGGGCACGCGAGCATGCTCCCACCACTGGTGGTGACGGAGGTGAAAGGGAGGAGGAGCGTCGGGAGGCCGTTCGGGTCAAACGACGCTTGAAGCGCCAGAAGAAGCGTGCAGCCAAGGCAGCGGCTGCCACTGACAAGGCCATGGAGGAGACGACGTACACTGCACAGGCTGGACAGGCTGGGGACGCTGGTTCTGCTGACGGTGCGGTCACGACCCCAAGGAGGAGTACGGCACAGAACGTTTTCGTGAAGGGCCACACAGGACTCACGCCTCCGTGCAAGAGACACTGTGCTGTCCCGACTGAAGCGGCTGGCCTGGGGGACACCCAGGTGGAGAACGAGAGTGTTGATGGTGATGGTTCAGGCAGCGACTGCTCTGGCATCACTATCGTCACTTATTCGGATGGGGGCACAGCCCGACAGTTGTGGTCGCCTGGGAGGCGCCTACATCGTGGAGACGCTGTTCGGCGATGGGAGGAGCACTTGTTGAAGAGACGTGGCGAGGTTCCCAAGCTGCCCGCTGGAGGCCCTCCGCCCTCCAGTTGACCTCGAAGGTGGTGCATGTGAATTTGTTTGGTGGGTCTGGGCTGTTTGAGCTCGACCTCGTTTGATGGGCTCCCGCTTAGCGGTGTTGTTCCATGGTGGTGGGTTTGGTGGCGGCCCGCGAGGTTCCGCCTCGTGTGACGTGCTTTGGTCCTGCCACGCTTGAGCCACTTTTTCTGCAGTTTTCTGGCTACAGCAGGGACGTGTGCATCTCCTTCTGGGAGTTGGTGGCGCCAGGTGTCCAACCGCTTCTCTACGTATGCACAGGTTGACATCTCACAGCGAACATAGCCGCCCAGGTCTCGTCTTTGGTGCGTTTTCGAGTTGGCAGCCTACAAGAAGGCAGGCCTGTCTTGGCTTCAATCCATGTCTAGGATGACTTAAACCCTATAACATGACCCAAACCCTACCTCGACTTTTCCAGAGCTTTTAGAAGGAAATCACGATACGGAATCCTAGAAGGCAGGTTTTGTGGGGTAAAGCTACGCAGCTACACCCTGGCAGGTCAATCCGTGTGGCATCATCAGTTTCCGACCGCTCTTCGTCGAACCTTGGCTCTGGCAAGAAGTTGAGGTAGGTATATGGAAGGACGCAAGAGAGTTAGGGGGTTCAGGGTTCCGCGTTTGCGCGGCTTTACGTTGAAGGTTTCGTGTTTTTTTTGGTTTAAGGCTTACGGTGGCATCTGCACACTGTTACCCCGGCATCACCACTCTTGCTTTCAATCTACGGTTACGATCCACCAGCCCAACCGCGATAGATCATGCATTGTTTCCAGCCTCCAGCAACAATCAGGCGGTCGAAGTCACGCCCCGGAGCAAGAAGCCCTGAACATCATTCTTGAAACACTGTTCTGGATCCGATAAACACAAACTTCAAAATCATAAATTTGCGAATCCCCAAAATCGTCGTTGCAGCCTTGAGGGTGTATACGTATGTACGTGTACCTGTATTTGTATATGTGTGTGTGCATATGTATTTATAAACAGCACAAAACATCGTACGATGTACTATACAGTTTCAGCTAATAGAACATTGTATAATCTTACCCCTCAGTCCCAGGGCCCCAATGATTCTAGGGATTCGGGTTGATAGTTGGAAATACTAAGAGGGTTCTTTGTTAGAGTTACAATAGACTGTCATCCAAACCCCTGTTCTGTTTTGGGGGCCCCCAAAGCAACACGCTGATTCTACCCTGTAGATGTTCAGGGTTTCGGACTTTTCCACCCAAATCCTCAAAGCCGCAAACCGTAAACCGTCCAACGCCATAACACCCAGGATAGGATCAGCCTGTTGATATCGCGGCCAATATAGCTAGAATAGCGGTTTGGGCGATATCCGGGTGTAATTTTAGCAAGGAGCCCTAGCCACCCTAAACCCTCAACCCTAAACCCCAAAGCGAGAACGGGACTCCCTTGCAGGAAAGGGTCCTGGTGATATTGCTGCTCTCTGGTGCAAGCTTTGGCCTCTGCTTCGTTTTGGTAAGGCTGGCGAGGGCCTCGGGTTTAGGGTTCTGCAGGTTCTGGGGCCACCATGACTCCTCAGATGTCTTTTACAAGAAGAACGACCCCAAACCCCCAAGACCAACCCCTAAACCCTCAAACGGGTGCGGGCTACGGGCAGCATTCTGATTAGCCCAGCAGCCTCAGCCAGCCCGGGAGGCAACCCCCAAACCTTAAAGAACCCTTAAAGGAAGGTTTTAAGTACCTTAGATGGATTATAATTAAGCTATGGTTACCTTACTTATAACCCCGCCGATAATTATCCAATGAACCTCCAAGCAAAAGCCTTGATAGGTCGGGTAGTGGTGGAGCCTCCATGGCCTACGTGGGCTATGCGCTCTTCGTCATTCCTTACGGCGTTGCTGCAGTTCTCCTCAGGAGAGACAGGGTTTAGGATTTCTTAGTAGTTGAGTGGATGCACTTTACACTTTTTGGGGTAATATGCTTCTGAACTCCAAAACCTACTTTTCTTGTAGGGTCTCTATGAATTCGACATTAGGTTTTTATCATAAAAAACTTACAAAAGGTAGGTTATGGCAGTTCTAGGTAAAAGTCCGAAGACTGGGGCCCTGGGGATGGGATTTGTGGTTTCGGATATAGTAGTTTCCGAAAATTAGGGGTACTTTCTTTTTGGGGTCCCTATAATAAGGATCCTTATACTATTTAGGGTACCATGTTTGGGTCCCCTATTTACGGAAACTCCCATAATGTGTCTTTGCTCAAAACTGACTCAGTGACCATCAAGCTTCAGGGTTCAACGTTCCGAACTTTGGGGCACTGTGGCACTGTTGAGGAGAAACTTCCGGGAGAAGCACATGCTGTTGCTCGGCACAAGGTACGGTTATGAGGATGGTAGCTTTAATGTAGAGGTCGGAATAGTTAGTAAGAGTATCCCTTGATAGTCAGTACATATTGCTTGCTACAATTAGCGTTATATATTCACCGAATCTCTATCATGTTTTCTTCTACATGCTAGGCCCTATAACTTATATCGCCAGAAGGAACCTGGCAGGGAAGGTGACGCAAAGGGACCTTGTCTATGTGATGGTCTCGGTGCTTCACTCTTCATTCAGAACTTCGACAGACTCCTCACATGTCCTGAAACTCTTAAGATTCTGCAGCCTAACTCAGAAAAACCCGAAACTTTCACGCAGCCCTAGACCCTAAACCCGACGTAGGCCTTTATGTGTGTGTGTGTGTGTTTTGTTTTTGAGGGGGGGGTTGTCCGGCTTGCACTTGCCATCAAAGCTCCATTCCCCATGGTGGATGGAAAGGTATGCATACTTTGCACAAACAGCACAGCCCAAATCCAAGCAATCATGTGGCAAGAACCACTGCTCATCGTGCAGCCTGCATGCGGGACTCGTGACGGTCGTGAGATCCACTTTCAGTAAGCGGTTGCAAGTTTTCACTCAAAGCGCAACCGTTGCTCGACTTTCATAGCAAATGACCGCATGGTTTCGGGATCAGGGCTCAGGGTTAAGGGTCCAAGGTCCAGACTACAGGGCTTAAGGCTCAGGGCTCGCGGCTTTGGGTTTGGAAGGCGAAGGGTGCCCGCCGGAAGCGCGAACTCCGACACCCCAAACTGCCGAAACCAGGAGACTCAGAGGATGTAAAGTTGTGGTGGTGGTCGTCGTAGTAGTAGTGATCGTAATTTCAACTGTAATAACCGTGAGGCTCACGTCTCAGCGCCGAGTTCCGCTCAACAAGGAGGGTCCATGTGCGAATGCAGATGTGAAAGATTCAACTCAAAGTCCTCCAACGATATCCGATACCCGACTAGAAGGAGCCTTAATAATTAGAATAGGGTTTTGGGGCCCAGTATACTACAAGTATAATAAGGAACCCCAGTTGAAAATAGTATAGGTAAGTATTAATTAGGGCCCCTAAACCCTAAACCTTATAGATCCCCTAAAGGAACCCTTATAGCACCCCTTAAACGGAACCCTAATCAAGCCCCCTCTATTACACCCTGAAGCCTCGACCTTACGTAGACCTTGTAATATGAGGGCCTCAAGGACTACATAAACGATTTTGGGGGTTCCTTATTATAAATATATAGTAGAATGCGCCCCAAAACCAGGTTCTAATTATTAAGGCCCCGACAGGGTTCCTTATGATAGATATCTAGTATAATGGGCCCCAAACTCCTATTCTAAACCTCACGCGCCGTTGTCCGAGTCCCTGCGACTTCTGTGTACAGTTGCTAGATTCCTGGTCGGTACAGTACGACTCGATGTTAAACTGCATTGATCAAATCATTGCAGTAATTAGTTAAGACGCCTAGCTCAAAGACAGCTAGCTTATTCAGCGATGCAACACGCATCTTTCGAAGTACTCGCCTCAGACTTCTGTCCGCTTCGCCCCAAACTCCTATTCTAATTATTACTTGGAGGATCGTGGGACTTAGTTAACCCCAATTAAGGTACTTGTAACCTTACTTACTAAGTCCCATGATCCTCCAAGTAAGGCCCCTACAGTACTGCAACGCCGAGGCGCCAGGAGCTGGAAACTTTTGACCTTAGCAAGGTGTCTTGCGCAAAGGAGTTCGACCGATCCTTGGCTATCCATTGGTATTGGAGGAGCTAAGGAGCCAGGGATGATGATGATAATCCCTATTACATAAGGAGCTAAAGAGCCAAAGGAAGCCCAAAACCACTGGTTAGTTGGTGGCAGGATAGTCGGGTCGATGTGTCGCGCCACGGTTTCAGATTTAGTGTCGATGAGTTTACGACATTGGGTGAAGGGCTTAGGCTGCGGCAAGGCTCGAAGGGTATAAGAGCAGACGACATGATTGGAAAAGCATGGGACTCGCAACATCTGTTGCCGCTGTGCCCTTGTGATGCTTATCACGTGGTTGTGACAATTAACAGGATGGCCAATGCAACACGATGGTGATGGTAGCGAGGATGACGGACCATGGTTTGTCAATTCTCGCCGTCCCGGTGAAGGGTGCGCTGTCATGCCGAAAAGTGAAAATGCAATCTGAGCAAGGCAAGAGTGAACTGCATGTACCATTGCAAACCTCAGCCAGAGTACACGAATTATTGTGGGTATTGGTATCATCACTTTACTCGTGAGGCAGGAGCCTCATGCCGTAGCAGCGGTGATGATTGTGCAGAACAAGAGTAAACAAGAAACACGCGGCACAGGAAACGCGGGCCTTAATGCTTTAATTTAAATCTAAGACTTGTGTGTCTCTTTGTGCGTGCGTGCATTTGTGTTTGTGTCGGTGTGCGCGTGTGTGTTGTCTATGTCTGTGTTTGTTTATGGCTGGCTTGTGGATGAATGCATATATATATATATATATGTAGGTCGCTTTGAACGTCCCAGCCTGCTCGTGCAATCGTTTCGAGTTTGAGTTGCATTCTCGCATGTGCCGAATTCAAGCTTTTGTGTGCGTCGATGCAAAATAGGCTAAACCCTAGGCTCTAAACCCTGATTGTCTGGCGGCAAGGAAAGTTCATTCTTGCCGCGATCGAGAAGTGGTACGGAAGCCAGGAGCAATTGTAAGCTCATGCGACCCATAGCCCCAGGATGGTGTTTGCAAATGTGAAGCTCCCGGGCGCAGATTCTGGTTTGTGAGGCCGCATTTCAACAGAGGGCTTTGTGCTGAAACTTCATGCTGCAGTCCTCCGTGTGTGTTCGTGTACGCGCTTGTTTATGCTAAACCCCCCAGCTCGGTAGTTCTACGGTTCTGCACACATGTGTTCATAGTATCCCAACAAGGCTTGCAGATTTTGCATATGCGGCAGCCGCCGGCGCAATTGAACAAGCCCTGACCTAGTAGAACGATGCAGAAAGCTTCACTTGCCAGCCCTGCCCACACTACTCGCACATCAACCGTGGGGCTTTAGGGTGCAGAGTTTAGGGTCTGGTGGTGGTTTAGGGTTTAGGGTTTAGGGTTTAGGGTTTAGGGTACAACCATGGGAAATGTGACTATTTAAGGTAAGCACAGTCATATGCCACGACATGGCTATCTCTTGCTCAACAGTCCTAAGTTGGCTTCCTGTGCCTATGACCAGCAGTCGTCAATATAGCTTAAACCGTTAAACCCCTAAACCCGTAGACCGCTAAACCCTGAACCCTAACCCCCTAAACCCTAAACCCCCATGTTGCTCCTCCCAGTGTCTTTTTCTGTGCAGACGTTGGTGGGTTTAGAATAGGGTTTAGGATCAGTGGACCTTCTTAAATCCACAGTTCCTTGCCAGGCAGGCAGGCGCGACTCTCAACGTGTTCCAAAAGTTGCTGCCCCACCCCCCGTGTATTCACAGCCACGAAGCACACAACCCGGACTATTTGCAGGCTGTAAGCGTGGGGGCTGTTTGCGCAAACGTAAGCCGGACTCGGATGTCGATGAGCATGAGGGTGACCTGTAATCACAACGTAAGACACAGGTTGCATAAGGATCCTGCGTCTTTCATCTCGGATGCATGCGTGACGCATTCATTTCAATTTCCATCGTACGTAGTTGTGGACCAGGGAAGCACAGTGCCCGTCAGGGGCTGCCTTGTGTATGTAAGTGCCTAGGTGCATCTATGTATCTGCCTGTCTGTCTGTCTCACTCGCTGACTCGCTGTCTTGTCCCTAAGCTTAAACCCTAATCCCTAAACCCTAAACCCTAGCCGAGCCTCTCAGACCTTTCGGGGCACTGGAGAAAAGGAACTCAACAAAGAAACCTAAACCCTAATGTATCTTCGCAGGAAGCCTTCACTGAGTATGTGCAGACCGAGCTGCGTCAGCAGCTGGAGCCTCTCCTGGCCACCAGCCGCTTCCCTACGCCATATGTCCTTCTGGTTTTCGCGTCCTTGATCACCGCCAGCCTCGAATTCTTTCTAGCTCTGTGGAAGCTCTGTCATTTAGTTCTGTAGCATTTTACATGTTTATGGGTAGTTAGAATAGAAATTAGGATTTTCAACGCTCTCCCAACCATGCACTACTTGAAGGATCATGGGACGTGGTAACTAGGGTTATAATTAGAGTAGCTATACTTATAACCCCAATTAAGGTACTTATAACCTTAATTACTACGTCCAATGATCCTCCAAGCAGGAAGGGTGGTGCCCCACCTGCATGTTTGGTGTCCTTTGCCGTCGGGATCCTCGTGGGCGTCGACATCTTCCTGGTTGGTGCCTTGATCGTGCCTTGGTTGACGTTAAAAACTGGGGCTGCTCTGAATTGTGAAGGCTATGGGTCCATGTCTACAGATTCTAAAGATGTACGTATAGATATAGAAATAGATATATATATATATATATATACATATATATTTATACACATACTTATACATATACAGAATGTCGTAACAAGGGCCGCGGGCGAAGGATCTGTTCTTGTGGCTGGTGAACTTAGCTTAGCCTACGGCAAACCTATGGCCCAGGTTTTTTTCTCGCACATCTGCGATCGTCTCGCACCGCAGCGCTTGGGAAGATTCGACCACCTGCAGACCTTTTTGATCCTCGGAGAATCTGAAACACGAGTTTACTTGCCCACGTACCGAAAGAGCCGACGACAAGTAAGCCCGCATGCTCTGTGTCGTGTTGCTTGTCGTACTGCTGCTTAATAGTAGAAACTGGAAACACCAACGGCAAGGGCCATGCTGCTTCTCACGGTGGTCTTTGGCATTGGCAGTTCCATGGGGACTGTTGCCTACAGCTCCAGCCTGGAACATGGCTTTCTCTTTGTGGCTATGGCTATGACAGACAAGCCAGAATCTTTTTTCTTGGTGTGCAAGAGCCACAAGCCCCAATAGCCTGAAAGGGGGTTGATAAGGGTTGCGACACAGGTCCATAAAGGGTTTTGAAGAAGGGCAGCTATAGTGGTTAAGTACAGGGGCTTAATCGTTGGAAAAGTGGTTCCCTTGAGGGTTCTCTCCCTGAGGCATTAGCATGCTTACTACTTGGTTGCTTCATCTGGTGGCTAGACGGAGCCGCTAGCCGTTGCGCCTGCTGCGCACAGCCGTCGCCAGAGCACGAGGTGCGTTGCTGGGGAAGACTGATTTCTTCGTGGCCCTCGACGGGTTTTAGTGTGTAATATGGGGCCTTAACAATAAGAATAGGATTTTGGGGCCCATTATACCATAGTTATAATACGGAACCCCCAAAATTGTATAGATGGTTGTATTCAGGCCCCCATTTTAGGGTTTCCCAAGCTTGCTGCTGAAATCGCATTATTCGCACGGGCTCCTGTCGTCGTATGTGAGGTGATGTTCATGGGATGTCCTTGTCTCATACATAAATGTAAATCGCCTGTGATGTCCTTGTTCGATTCCATATTTCTGGCATGTTCTCTCCTCACAAGTGTGCCTGTGTCTTCCCGTGTCTATAGATACGTGCATGTGTTTGCAGTTCAATCGCATATGTATGCTTGTCGAGACATATGTATTTTCGTAGAGATGCAATAGCTGGCTCGATTTGTGTACTGAGGTGTGTTTACACGCATGAATTCAATCGCACGCGTGTCTTGCAATGTTCCACATGAATAGGATACTACAGGGCCGCTCAAGTTGTGAAGTCCCATTCCGTGTGTTAGGGATTGGGGTTCAGGGTGGTTTAGGGTTTAGGGTTTAGGGTTTAGGGTTAAGGGGGGTCAGGGTCTAGGATTTCTGAATCGCCAAGGTGGCACCGTCTCATCAGACGGCTTGCAGCCCGATCCCAGAGGTGACCGAAGAGCCGTGATGCAAAGACAGCTGGTTACGCAAAATGAGCCTTTGATGCAGATAATAGATCAGTTCTTTAAGGCATGTAGGCTTTCTTCATTTAGTTTGGCTCACCTTCAACTATTATAGCCTACTTTTGCAGGGTGGTATAATCAGTTCAAGATCTAGGGAAGTTGCAGGGACCCTAAGACCAGACTATGGTCGTTCCCCTAAACCCTGAACCCGAAACGGTTTAGGGTTTAGGGGTAGATAGTGGTAGGCTTTGGGGTTAGGCACATGCTACGAACTCTGAATTTTCATAGCAGTGGAAGTTTCACCGCCAGTATTTGGGTGCCATACCTTCCACAAAGCAATCTGAGCCCGCCTTGGCAAGTTTGGAGCGTCAGGGGTCCATCCATCTACCTTAGTTTAGGGTTTGCGGTGGTTTACAAGTTCGGGTTCAAGGTTCAAGGTTTGGGTTTGTGGGGTCTGAAATCTCGATGAACAACCTGTTGAAATTCATCACGCCTTTTCAAACCTCCTTGAATATATATATATATATATATATATATAGAGAGACATACATATACTAAGCCTGGCATCCCTAACCCTCAGCCGTGGGCCCTAAACTCAGACCCTGGAGAAGCCACAGGTTCCAAGCGATTGGAGCTTGCCCGGAGGTCCCGGCGGCTTGCAAAAACGGCATACGGCATTTCTGCCAGAAGCTCAGCGTTCAACTATGCGACAGCATGGGAGCTTCAGAAACATGGGACCATAGGATTCCCTAGACACAAAACTCTCCCTGAAAAGTTTTTTTTATTTCTGTTCATATAAAGCCCAAAAGAATACTTAAAATATTATATTTATTATGGTTCTAAGGGGTGGTATAGGACAAGAAACCCAAAGTTTCTGAAACTACCGAACGATCAGGGTCGATCGCGGCCTGGTCTGGAATCCATTGACGATATTTCGAAGCCGGTATTGAGGGCTGGTTTGTGGCACTAGTAGATTCTTGGGGGTGAGGGTCTCTAAATCCTAAAACTTAAGTCAAGAACCCGATTTTAGGGGTTGGGGTTTAGGCCATAGACCACGGTAGTAGAGTTTTCGATGGTTTTGCTGATTCGAGGCATCTGGGTTGCTTGTTGGCCAAGAGGTTTATTTACTTTTGGGTTGTGGTCTTCGGGTCACCACAGCATAAACCTGCCTACACCCCGCTGAGCTTTGTTTGAGACAGTTTCCTATACTCGACATTTAGAATGGAAGAGGGCTTCGGTGGAGTATTGCCCTAAATCTTCGACAGCTGTATATGTTGTCTCAACCCTGGCGTAAATCCCTGGACCCTTAACCCGAAACCTTAAACCCTGAACCCTTGCAGGAGCCCCTTTCCCAGAGACTCCAATATCCCTTAATTGAGGGATATACCTTAAATCATATTAAGGATCCCACTATATAGTTTAAGGTATATTCCTTAATTAAGAGACATTGGAGTCTCTGGGTTAAGCCCGTAAAATCGTTAAGCCCGAAGCCAGCGGTAGGCCGGGGCTAGGAAACCTACTGTTCCAAGCTGTCAACCCTCTAGGCGACTGACGGTTGAGGGTTCCTGTAAGGATCCTTTAAGGGGTCCTTTAAAGGGGACTAGAAGGGTCCCTTAAAGGGTTCTGTAGGGGTTTAGGGTTTAGGTCTTTGGTGTTCGGGTTTAGGGTTTAGGGTTTAGGGCTTTGGTTTTCTGGTTTAGAGGGTTCAGGGTTTCTGATTTTTGCGGCGTTGGTTTTCGGGTTTGGGGGTTCGGGGTTTAGGGCTTCGGTTCTCCGGGTTTGGGTGTTCAGGGTTTACGGCGTTGGTTTTCGGTTTGGAGGTTCAGGGTTTAGGGCCTTGGTTTTCGGGTTCAGGGTTAAGGGTACAGGGTTGCGGGTGAAGGTGTAAGGTTATGTTTAGGGATAAGGGCTGAACGGTACATCACCCCAAACCCTCATGTTGAGAGCATTTTTTGTAGGAGGAGGTCGCTTTGGTTTTGCCACGGCTCGAGCATTTGAGATATCATGGTTTGGCTTTGTCCTGTATTTTGCGTCTCAGCCAGCCCTTTCGATGTGGAGGCATGTGATATGCAAGTTCGCATGCTTGCCCCTTGGCTGCCCACCTCATGTGCACGTTGGTCATGGCGAGAAAAGGCAGCCATGTATCTTCCAGGCCAGTGCCAGGAGGCCCCGAAAGGGCCAACGAGGCCACGGCCTGTTTTTCCCTAGGTCGGACCTGGGGATATCTTAGACTTCGCTACTCTGTTGGTTTGCACGGGGTTGTATTCAGGATATCTCTGAAGGAGTTTGCAGGGACGACCTAGTCGCTTATCCGCGGCACGATCCCCCAAGGCAGGGGCAGGTTCGACATACTCGGCTTGTGGGCTGTTCTGAACTAGGTATGGATTGTGATGATTTGTTAATTTCCCGTATTGTTTAAATTAGAGCCCTAAGATGCCTGAAGTATTTAACAAGTTTGGGGACTCTTGAAACCGACACCTGGTTAAAGAACCTGCTGACCCCTACCCAGAGACTCCAATATCCCTTAATTAAGGAATATACCTCAAATTATAATAGGATCCCTAATATGATTTAAGGAATATTCCTTAATTAAGGGATATTGGAGTCTCTGGGTAATGAATGCAGCCAGAGGATTCGGCCCTGAACGAAGCCATGTCAATGACCCGAGGATAGAGAACGTCAAGGACAATTTTGGAGATTCCAAAAATCAGGGGTACCTCATTTGCGGGTCCTTATAGTAAGGATCCTAAATTTGGGGCACTATATTTGGGTCCCCTTTTTTCGGAAACCCCGATACTGTAGAGATCCTGAATTCGCACTGTGACTATGGGAAGAATGATGAGCGATTCACCCGGCTCGAGGCTTTAGGGTTCCCTTACGGCCTTTAGGTTTAGGGAGTTGTTACATCTTGTGCGGGCCTTGGCGATGATGGACTACCTGGGCGATTGAAGGGAGCCATCATTCAGA